AACTTGTTTTTTGGCCCACGCAGATTTCTAAGTGAGCATGCACAGCCTGGGTGGTAAAAACAGCAGAATCATTTCCAGCTCATATATGAGAGCTTTAAATCCAACTCTAAAGCATGCATGGTTTCTAATGACACCTGTTCTCACCACTAGTACATGGTCACATGTGACCTTTGGGGCTCTGCCACAGACAAAATTTTGTATGGGAGAATGCAGAGGTGGAGATGGGAAGAGGGACCCGTGGTGACAGATGGAAAGAGAAAAAGACAGAGAAAGAAAGAATCGAGTATCTGCATATTGTCCTTCTCAAATAATGACAGTGGTATATTTTGTTGACTAAAAGTGGCCCAAGATGATTTATTTTAAATTTAATATCATACTAAGAAACCAAACTTCGAAGAGGCCTACACTGTCACTTAATGATTCCCATGTTTGCTTTCTTTTTTTTTGGTTTTTACGAGACAGGGTTTCTCTGTATTGTTTTGGAGGCTATTGGTCCCCGGCCTCGAAGTCACAGAGATCTGCCTGCCTCTGCCTCCCGAGTGCTGGGATTAAAGGCATGTGCCACCACCGTCCGGCCCATGTTTGCTTTCTAGAGATGAAATTAAGCTTATTCTTCAATGGAGGGTCACTGAGAATCCTTGGCACATTGTGTTGCACAAGAGGGAAAAAGAGGTCAAATGATGATTGGCGAGGACAAAATTCTGACTTATTAGTCCCATCCCATCTATAAAAATAATGACATTGTTTTCCTATGGCCTTTACTGCCACCTGAGGATATGTGAAAGCAGAATCGCAAAGTCAATATAGTAATGTCCCTAGGGGACAGTGTGTGGTTGGTGGACAAAACACTGCTCAACCGACAGGAAGTGCGTGGTCCTTCCTAACTGGGCATGCTTCCAGGCTGAGACCTGGACTAAATGCGTACTCAGTTCCTGCTGCCTCAGAGTCACTATTGTCTCTGCAGGAATGCTTGTTTATGTGCAGGCTCACACTGAAATTCCATCACTGTATCTCTTGCACAGTAATGCAGAGCTGTGTCTTCAGTTGTCACAGAGCTCAGCCTCATGGAAAACTGATTTTCCATGTGTCTACTGTCATGATTATTCGGCTCTTGAGAGACAGGTTGTAGTCAGTCCTTCCATCATTATAAATTCGACCCATTCATTCCAGCCCTTTCTGTGGATGCTGACAAATCAAACTCCACCAGTTGCCACTGCTAATGGAGTAACCAGTGACAGCACAGGTGATGGACAGTGATTGAGAGGGCATCAGCAGACTGGGCCGTGACTCCTGAATCTAGACCTGAGACAGGACACCTGTGAACTCTAGTGACCTGTCCCCCATTTTAGCAGCCATTACAGGCTAACATGTGCTTGAATGACCTTGCCACTCCTGTCCTGGTCACTAAGGTCAGATGCCTTCCTCGTGGCAAGGAACCAATCAGAAATTAGTGCACAACAGTGAAGTGCAGAACATAGAAACCACTCTGGGAGGTCCTATGGGCCATAACAACCAGTTGACCAATCAACGCAGAATGGGTCACCCAAACATGGAAGCGCAACAATCCTGTGACTGTTTCATATCCCTAGACACTCCCCTTATGCTGCCCTTTAAGATCCCTGCCTCGAGATTGCTTGAGGTCTTTCTCCAGCCATTCACCATGGTGGCAGTCTGAAGGGCCCGAGCTAAAGGAGTTAGCTCGTTAAACACCTACAATAAAAGACTCTTTGCTTTTGCATCGAAATGGGCCTCTTGGTGATTTTTGGGTTCAGAATTTGGACACAACATTCCATCCATTTCCCTGGATGCTCATAAATCAAACTCCACCAGTTGCCACTGCTAATGGAGTAACCAGTGACAGCAAAGTTGAAGGACAGTGATTTAGAGGGCTTCAACAGACTGGGCCCTGACTCCTGAATCTGCACTTGAGACAGGATGCCTGTGAACAAGAACAACAGTGAGTCAGGAGCTCAGAACCAGCAGTCCAAGGTTCTCCATTGTTTCCCTGTAGAACTCACAGCTGGGAGCCTTCATAAGGCTAAAGAAGATGCACAAGTGTTTCATGTTTTGGTGATGAATTCAATGACTCTGAGAAAATATTCTCCGGGATTTAGAAGGCTCTGAATTTAAGCAGGTGTCTCTCTTCCTGTAGCATTGCTACAAATTTGCATGTGGGATGTTCTTATAAATAAATATATGAAAGTCTGCTGCATGTCCACTTTCACAACATGTGTGAGAAGGAAGCAATATAGTGTCTTTTAGAGCCCAGCTCTCTTTTCACAGTAACTCATAAGCTCTTAACATGAAAGGGGGAAATGTGCACAGTGTATTTATCTGGGGTTAGAGTGGTCATTGACACACATAAAAATAGGTGATAGATAGATAGATAGATAGATAGATAGATAGATAGATAGATAGATAGATAGAGGCATCGAATTTCACCCTTCACATGAGGTCCCCCAGACTGGCAACTGGGTGACCACATTTGAAGCATGAGTTGAACTATTAACATTGTCCCTCTGGGGAAATAGCAGTGACCTAAGTTCTCAGCTCTTAGTGGACAGTTCAGGGACAAATGTTCTGCTTCTGTCATTATCCACTATAAGGTGAGTGACATCACACACCATTATCCCAGAGTTATTGTTTTTAGGTTATTTCAAGAAAGGATTTCTGCATGACATTGGAGGCTGTCCTAGAACTAGCTGTTCTAGACCAGGTTGGTCTTGAATCATGAAGATTCACATGCCTCTGCATCCTGAGTGCTAGGATTAAAGGTGTGTGCCACCACCACCCAGCTCCCGGAGTCATTTCTAAACAGTCACTTATCTGTACACAGTCCTCAGAAGTTACATGCTTATACATGTTCATACCATTTACAGTGCAGCCTTGTTGTAAATAGTATGCACTAAAGGGGTGAGATAGCACCTGTGAGTGAAGAACTAAACATCAACCACAGAAGACTGAAACAGATCAGCAGTGTAATTCAGGGCAATGAAGTACTCATATAAGAAATCCCCCCAAAACTAAGTAAAACAAAAAGTTATGCTTGTTAATGTAGAAAAAGGGGAGGAGACAGTGAACAGAGGACGGGAATAGGAAATGGAGGAGGGAGATGAGGTGAGGAGAGGGATTGTTATGATGAAGCAGTAGGAGGAGGGGGTAGTCAGAAGATGAAGGGAAGAAGGAGGAGGAATGGAGGAAAGAGGAGGTGAAGGAATTGGAGGAATCTTGAACACAACTCAAGGAAGTCTTGGAGATCATTGTGGAAGGGAATGTGGGAAGATGATAAGAGCCATAGACACAGGGAGTTTGCTGTGATGTTATTTTTCCTAGGAACACCAAAATTTATACACAGCAGTGCTCACCTGCATGAATGACTAACTAGGAGTTTTGATTAAGGCTTTATAGCAACTTTCTTGTAAATCAGAAATGATGAAATTTGCAACCACGAACTGGTTTGCTCTGGGCACTTCCCTGTGCATTGTGGGGATATTCCAATGAATCAGTAGATGCTATCTGGTAGAGGTCAATAGAATCCAACAACAATGGCAAACATTCAAAAATATATTCATACGATGATGAATGCTTTGGTGGGGGGTGTAGCACAGTTGCAGTAAAGTGTGGCCACCATTATTACAGTATACATCTCACAGTATACAACTCACAGTATACAACTCACATTATACTTCTTACAATATATATCTCATGATATGCATCACAAACTATACATCTCATAACATACAACTCCCAGTATACACTTCAAAATATACATCTCACTGTACACACTTCACGATGTACATCTCAAAATATACATCTCACAATATGCCCCTCACAGTATACATCTCACAATATACATCTTCCTGTATACATCTTACAGCATACATCTCACTGTATACATGTTACAAAAACACTGCATACCACATCACAGCTATTACTGACAGGATAGGACATCATACTCACCAGGACACAAGCATAGTGAGACACATGTCAAGGTGGAAGATGTGTGAAATTAATGTTGCATTATTTACTATCAAATGCTCAAAGATGCTAATGACCCAAATTTTACCTAGACTGGTTTACTGGCCTTTTCAACTGACGTAATGTCAGGGCATGGTAAATAAGGTTAAATGGTATTCTGTATTCCTGACACAATGTTCCTTACATCTATATGAGTTTGGAACCTGACCAGATACCTCCACTATAGTCCTGTGTTAACCCTCCCTGCTTTCTGTCTCTTTGAGTCTCTGTCTTTATCTAACTCTCTCACTCTCTCTGTCTGTCTCTCATGTTTCTATCTTTTTCTCTTTGTCTCTCTCCCTCTCTATATCACTCTGTCTGTCTCTGTGTTTGTCTCTATCTCTGTTGCTCCATGTCTCTTTCATGTGTTTCATGTTGACAAAATGTTTTCAAAACCACTCAGTGGCCAAGAGAAAGTCTTAACCCCAGTTTTCATGCTTTCCAAGAGACAGCTTCTTTCCACTTAAAGCTAGTTTGTTGGACTGCAGAGAGAAGAAAGAGGAGAAATATTTGAGACCTATTCTGGTGTACAGGTTGCAGAGTGTGTCTACACTGACCTCCTGTAGTCCCAAACACTGTCCTTATCAGAATGACTTAAGACCTGTTGTGAAATCATTGAGAGTGCAGCCTCACAAACACCTCTTATCTTCCTAGGCATTTGACTTTGTGACGTCTGCAGAATCATTTCTGCTATCAGGGGTCTGCTAGGTCATTTCTTCTATCACCTGTGATTGTTAACATTTAGTTCATCTAAAGTGTGAAGTCTATGTAGCTTTTTAAGTTAAGACTAAATAGAAATCTGTTTCTACAGATAATATAGGCATTTTTAAACCACAAATGCAGAGAACATTTGGCACATCATCAGCGGAGTTGAAACACCAGAACTGGGACTTAACTATGCACCTGTTCCTGCACTGTCCCTGTTCACCATGTGCTGCCATCGCCCCCTGTTGGTTCTGAGCGCTCCTGCAGCGAGTTTTGGCTTAGGGCTCACACTGAAGTTCTCTCACTGTGTGTCTTGCACAGTAATAAATGGCGGTGTCTTCAGCTCTTAAGCTGTTCATTTGCAGGTAGATGCTGCTTTTGGAGTCATCCCTTAAGATGGTGAATCTGCCATTTACAGAGTCTCCATAGTAAGTTGCATAATTATTAGCTTTGTTTCCAATTTGTGCAACCCACTCCATCCCCTTCCCTGGAGCCTGCCGAACCCAGTTCATCCAAGCATTGCTGAAAATGAATCCAGAGCCTGCACAGGAGAGTTTTAGGGAACTTTCAGGCTGTATCAAGCCACCCCCTGACTCCAACAGGTGCACCTCACAATGGACACCTGCAAACAGAAAATTCTGTTAGTAGACTGACACAAATGTCTAAGGTTCCTTTTGCTCGTGTAGACTCACACAATCAGTATCTCCCCTTTTCTAGAAATTACCTTGTAAAACTACAACAAAGAAAACACAACTCAGTCTGACTTCCATGATGTACTTTCTGTGTTCAGTGATGGCCACAGAATGGGGGGATCTGTGAGCACAGAGATGAGTGCCTCTGTCAAAGCTGTAGGGCCAGGGCTGCTTTTCATGATAAGAGGGGGACGTAATTTGCATTTCTTCTTTCTATATCATGAGCTAAGGCATGTTAATGCTAGAAGACAGAATTAATGGTGAAGGAACCTGGCATAAAATGAGGTGGCATTTACAGCATGAAATATGACTTATTGTCTATGGAGCATAGTTCAGTAGATAGAAAACATTTTCATGGATAAAGCCATGTGTTCACCTCAAGCACTGAAGGGATAATGAATCTTTGTTTAGTAGGAGAATCACTTTCTGAGTTATGCTTTGAATAATGAAACTATTCTTCAAAAAAGAGGTGGAAAATGAAATAAAAAAGGAAATGTTAAATAATATGAAAATTACTCATAAATAGTAATATAGTATTACAACTTTACTGTGGTTTGTCCATGTAAACTCCTCTTCTCTCTTAGCAGTAATTAACACATATGTTCATAGTAAATAAAGACATGAGATAATGTATATTAATTTTAGGAAACATTGAATATACTTCAGTGAATCATGGATACATTAAAGTAAGAAAATGTAGCTGAGGCCATAGGCCAGTGGTATAGTATAGCACACACAAGGCTTAAAATTAATTCTTTAAATTTTTTTATATTATATTTTTAAATTTAAATTTAAATTAGAAGCAAGGTTGCTTCACATGTCAATTCCAGGTCCCTCTTCCTTTCCCTACCCTCATCCTGTGCTCTCCCACCAAACCATCCAATATCCCCTCTTTATCCTAGGGGGGGGAGGCCCTCATGTGGGTGTCCATAATCTGTGATTTCATCCAGGGCAGCGCCTCGACCCTCCCCCAAGAGTCCATGTGAGAGTGCATCTCTCCTTGTTGGATGGGTGCCCAAAGTCCATTTGTATATCCAGGATAAGTAGTGATCTACCACCCAAGACTCAATAGATTTCCTAGACCTCCTCACTGACACCCACATTCATGGGGTCTTGATCAGTCCCATGCTGGATTACCAGTCATCTCTCTGGTATTCAAAAGATAACCCTTCTCAGGTCAGCTGTTTCTGTGGGCTAAACCAGGCCAGCCTTAAGCCCTGTGCTCATGAGTCCACCCTCTCTGTCACTGGATTTCTGGAGTTCAGCTCAGTGTTTAGCTGTGCGAGTATGTGTCTGCTTCCATCAACCATTGAATGAATATTCTGTTTCCCAGACTCTCTGACCATGGGATTGTAGGCTGACACTGTGCAGATCTATGTCTAAAATGCATATATGAGAGAGTACATGCCATGTTTCTCTTTTTGTGACTGGGTTACCTCACTCAGGATGGTTTCTTCTAGTGCCATACATTTGTCTGCAAATTTCAGGATTCCATTGGTTTTTTTCTGATGCATAGTAATCCATTGTGTAAATGTACCACATTTTCTCTATCCACTCTTCGGTTGAGGGGCATCTAGGTTACTTCCAAGTTCTGGCTATTACAAATATTGCTGCTATGAACATAGTGCCACAGGTGTTCTTATTGTATCAATGGGCAACTTATGGATATAAGCCTATGAGTGGAATTGTTGGATTTTTTATTTTACCCATTCTGATAAGAGTAAGATGATAGTTCAGAGTTTTTTGATTAGCATTTCTCTGATGGCTAGGGTTGTTGAGCACTTTCTTAAATGCCTCTCAGCCATTTTAGACTCCTCCATTGAGAGTTCTCTATACAGCTCTGAATCCCAATTTTTAAATGGAACATATGGTGTTTTGGAGACTGTTTTTTGACCTTTTAAGTTTTGGAGATCAGCTGTCTGTCAGATGTGGGGTTATTGAATATCTCCCAGAGTATTGAACTTTCTTGCACCCAATAAAATGGAACTCTGGTCCCCTAACCACCAGGCCAGGAAGTTGCTCTTTCTGTACCCACTAAAAGAAGGGATGGGAAGGAGATAATACAAAAACACACTCAGTAACAGAAAAAAATTGACACCACCAGACTCTAGAGACTCCGTATCAGCAAAACTCTGACATTCCAATGTAAATGAAGCAGAAATATGTGACCTTAAATCAACTCATGAAAATGATAGAGGCCCTCAAAGAGGATGTGGGAATATCACTCAAAGAAATTCAAGAAAAAACAAACCAAAAATTCAAGAAATGCAAGAAAAAACAAAAGAGAAAATTATAAAATGTTACAAATGAAGATACACTAGGAGAAATTAATTCATCGACCATAGAAAATCCAACTAATCCAGGAAATATGGGACACCATGAAAAGACCAAACCTAAGAATAATCGGTATAGAAGAAGATAAAGAAAATCAACTCAAAGAGGCAGAAAATTTATTCAACAGAATCATTTAAGAATATTTTCCCAACCTAAAGAAAGACAAATTACACGGAATGAAGAAAGAATATTAAGAGCATGTAAGGAAAAATGTCAAGCAATATATAAAGGCAAACCTATCATAATTACATCTGACTTCTCCATTGAAATTCTGAAACCCAGAGGGGGCTGGATAGATATTCTACCAAAACTAAGAGTCCATGGATGCCAGCCCAGACTACTATACCCAGAAAAGATTTCAATCACTGTAGATGGAGAAAACATTATATTCCATGGCAAAATTAGATTTAAAAATGACATCCACTACTCCAGCCCTCCAGAAACTTCTGGAAGGAAAATTCCAACTCAACGAAGTTAACTACAAACACAAAAAACATAGGCATTAGATAATCACACGTTACCAACAGACAAAAGAATAAAAGGGGTGGAATTCCACACATAATTCCAACAACAACAACCATTTCTACAATTCCACATCAAAGAAGAATTAGCAATCAATGGTCATTAATATCCCTCAATCTTAATAGTCTTAACTCAATCATAAAAAGACATAGGCCAATAAAACAGATCTGAGGAGAGAGCCCACCCTTCTGTTAGATAAAAGAAACACAACTCACCCTCAAATACAGACATTACCTGAACATTAAAGGTTGGGAAAAGATTTTCCAATCAAATGTACCCAAGAAACAAGCTGGCATGGCAATCCTAATATCCAACAAACAAAATTTAAAATAAAATCAATTAAAAGAGATGAAGGAATTCATTACATTCTCATCACAGGAAAAATCCAATGAGATGATGTTTCAATTCTGAGCATCTATGCCCCAAATACAAATGCATCTGGAATTGTAAAACATATATTACTAAAATTCAAATAACATATACAGCTCCACACACTTATAGAGGTAGACTTCAACATCGCCCTCTCACAACTAGACAGAAATACCACAAAGAAACTTAATAGAGAAGCAAAGGGTCTAATAGAAGTTATGATCCAAATGTGATTAACAGACATCTATAGGAAATTCCATCCAAATATACCTTCTTCTCAGCACCATATGGAACCTTCACAAAAATCAGCCACATACTTGGCAACGTATCAGACCCCAGTAGGCACAAAAATTTGGATTAACTCCATGTATCTTATCAAACAACTATGCATTAAAATTAGAATTCAACAACAACACAAATTGCAGAAACCCTACACATTGATGGAAATTGAATAATACACAATTACACCATTCCTAGGTCAAAGAAGAAATTAAATTTCATTTTTAAGGAGCTGTGAGCATGCTCTAAAATTCCTTGTGGATTATAAGGAATACCTGTTGTGATTAATTATATATTAAGTCCAAAAACCTGAACATCTTATTAAAATATCCAGATCTATTGCCTGTTTTTTATCACTTTTGGAACTCTCATGTAAGTAAAACATTTCAAAGAGTGATTTATCACATGCTTGGTGACTTTTCAGTTTGTATGGTGACCATCAAAAAACCTCAATACCTATTTATTGTCATGTGTCCATATTTTAACTTGTCAAATTCTGTAAAATAAATGCCTAAATTTATTACCATGAATGATTGGGAAGTAGACCTCTAGAGTTCACTCTTAAATTAGTTACAAATAAGTATTGAGGGCACAACTCAAATTTTGACAAGCAGTCTCTCTAGCTAAACCAAATTGCTTTCCTAGAATTTTGGTATTTTGATGATGAAAATTGATGAGACTGCAGAGGTCTGTCCACAAAAGTCAAAGAGACCAACTTTATCAATCTATTTGTTGACTTGTTTTCCCTAGCCAGTGGGCTGGGAATGTTCTAACAAGCTCTTATGTTACACACAAAACATAGCAATTGAATTTCGATTGTTGTAAGTAATATTTTAACGTGATCATTTGGGTTTTAATGTACTGAACTTTCTTTATTATTTGAGGAGCTTCAAAACTTAATGATTGTCACTATACAATTAAGTGAATTACATGCTAGAAGTTGAAAAACCACTGTAAAAGCTCATAACTTGACTATCAGAGATGAAGACAGAGTAGTTTTCTCTGCATGTTTCTTACCATCTATACCATAAGTTGTTCTTTCATTAGAATAACTATTCGTAAAAACTAGCACAACATTTTCACAAAACGATTTTTTTGCTATTTTGGAGAATTTAAAAGGATGTATTAACTCAAACTGTAACTGCCTACGAGCTGTAAAATGATTATCAATTCTCCTTGAAAACAGAGCAAAGCAGTTGCCCACAAATCAATGTTCTGAAAAAATCCCCTTGGTGCTTTGTATGCATAACATATATTGAGGGATGACAAAATAAAGTTAAAAGTTTAAAAATTTGAGCCCTAAATCTATACAAAGAGAGGAAATTCTTAAAGGTAAAGGAATATTTAACTTCTTAAATCAATGATGCCCACGCCCCTGCACTCAGAGGAGGGGAGGCAACTATCCAACATTCATTCCTCTTAACATTCCTCTGGTAATATTTTGTCATAAGGTCCCCCTGCCAGTCGTAAATATTCTCTGACCAAGGGGATAACTACCAGACCTTAGCAACACTGCAAGAATTATCATATCTTATTTAGATGCATCCTGCCCAAACTACATCGTTACTGTTTTAATCCTAATCATTCATCATTTATGACTCTAAGCAACTGCAGGAACAGAAAATTGTGGCCTTTTT